TCCACTGATTTTTCCAATGGTCTCAGCATGTTCCATTTTCCCTCTTCTCATGACCAACCTATATCGTAGAACAGCATAAATAAATAATCTGGTCCAGGTCAGTGAGCAATGGAGCATATGATGTCAAACACATTCTACAGACCAATCAGCACTTGATGAAGGGCGCGGTCAATATCACGCCGGCCATCTTCACATCATAAATATCAAGAAAAGATATACAACCAAACGAAAAGTATAACAGCAGGCTTCCCAATATAACAAAAACACAAACAAGACGTGAACGTTGAGGTAATGGAGCCTACATCGGCACATACATGAATCAAACAATACCACATACATTTTAAAAACAAATCACTTAGCTTAGTATCTCATAGCAGCCAGGTCGATGTCTTGCCAACAGACTGAGGAGACACGTGGGACGGAAGAATAAGTACCCCCGGGGAATGCTAGGGGCCTTAACTGGATGGTTGTAAATAAAACTGTGTGGGCAGTTCAATCTCCTGTGTCTTAGATGAAACTGTGTTGAAAGTTCAGTCCTCTGGGTGTTAACGTGCCCAAAGTGAATAAAGCGATTTTCAAGAGAGTTGCGGACTCTGTCGCTGGAGTGGCTAGATTTGATGGCTGTCACCTCCATGTCGTCGACGTTTTGGTGATCCTGCGAATTGAAGTGCACATTAATTGTATTTCATTAAGCATTTCCTGTTATCTATTTTAGACTTGGTGGATCTGGGCGAAAATATATTTTTATTTTAAAACATAATACGGATTCGAACCTAAAATCGTAGGACTGGCAATCAAGCTGTTAATCACTTTGCTACTGCGACTCTCAGGGTTGAACAGTTTCCGATATATATTCTTCCTCCTTATATGTCCGTCATTACCAAATGTAACAGGGATCTCAACCAATAACGTCAAGCTCTTTGAGACATTGTTATCTTCTACTTCTTTTTTTCACTTTCTCCATCTACTTTGTCGTAATGTTGGAAAAAATACAGTGATCTTCTGTATCGTTAATCGTTAGTGGTTAATTGTTAGTGGTTAATTGTTAGTCGTTAATCGTTGGTCGTTAATTGTTAGTCGTTAATTGTTAGTCGTTAATTGTCAGTCGTTAATTGTTAGTCGTTAATCGTTAGTCGTTAATTGTTAGTCGTTAATCGTTAGTCTAGGTTCCAACATTACTGCAGGGGAGGGGGGGGGGGGGGGCTCCCCAAAACTGTCTCTTCCTGTGCCGGTAAAAATTAAACACAATTTCAATCACTGTCCCATTTAAAAACTCGTAAAAATTGGTCAGTCTCGGCAAAACTTGAAACGCACACGCAAAGTGACAATACATAAAACCGCTACCAGATGTGCCGAAATTAAAGGCCCCACGCCAGAACTGCAGCTCACTTTGGCGCAAACTGCCAGTCACGATAGCCTGCGGCATTAAACCCACACTAATATGAACTTAATCGGTCATTTTATTACAGTCCACTACACGCCGCGGGCACAACGGAGTGAGGCCGTTTCACAAGCTTTCACATGCGATATCTAAGAAGAATACCTAGCATTAAGTGGCAGGACAAGATCACAAACACTGGAGCACAGGAGAGAGCATGTACTACAACAATCTTCTCAATGTCTAAGAAGGCTCTGGTGGCTGGGTCACACGTGGAGAATGGAAGATGGCTGAGTACCTAAAGACATTCTTTATGGTGAATTAAAGAAGGAAAGAAGATGTCGAGGCCGACCTCTACTGCGATTTAAAGACGTGTGCACGCAGGACATAACTAATACATGTATTGAGATGGATTCGTGGGAACAAAATGCCATGGACCGTGTTGTTTGGAGAGGGCACATAAGGAAGGGAATGAGAATGAAAGAAGAAATTATTGCAGAAAGGATGAGAGCTATGCACCTGAGAAGAAACAGACTAAACACAAATATTTACATCAATGATCCTTAAATCTCCTGCTATAACTGTGGAAAGCTTTTTTTTTTAACGCGGGCGGTTCTTGCTAGCGGTTCTGTGAGGCCATGTTTCCTAATGGCGCAATATAACACTATTGTATGAAAAGACAGAAAGGTGCCAAAGATGATTTATTTGTAGTTTGTTGTTTCAATCGCCTCTCATGTACATGAACCCTGACTTTGACAGAAACACCCCTATTTAGTATACTTTTACGTCATGCTTGTTACATGGGCTGTGAGTAAATCTATAATAGGCACCCATAACCTTTATACACGACCGACTGTATTTATTATGGAAAAGGCCGTGTCTATTTATATGGTGATGAAAAATGAAAGGGCATTTCCATTTTGTCCACACCGTAACTATAAATAGAGATGGTTTTTCCGGTGATCGGGAAAAACGAAAACACTGAACAGTTCCGGATAAATTTTGTTGAGGGAGCCAAACACAAGGTAAGTAAAGCGACAACAATAGATAATCAAAAAGTTGTAGAGAATAGGGAACCCCGCCGTTTCTAAATATTCGCTACATGAGGCTGTGTTGGGAAATAATTCAAGTAATTCAAACAAACAATAGGTAAAAAGATAGCAATAGATGCCCTCAAAACGGCAATATAGTCATCATAGTCAATCCGTCACTCTCTTAGTGTCTTAGGACTGTCTGTTCATAGAGGACATCAATGCCATACGAAAGACTGAACACTGCGAGGCTTCAGTTTGGAGAAAAAAAATATTTCACCAAAAGACTGTATACCCTGTGTGTACCAGTTTGAACTGAGAGACAGGAGAACAATGCGGGAATCACCACTCGTTACATTAACCAGAAAAGAATGTAAGTTGGGCTCTCCTCCGAACTTCTACCCGATATTATGGTGGCCAAACAAATACCCTAACAGGGCCTCAGTGGTGTGTAAAATGTTGACTTCCTGCGAAGGATAGGGGGGGGGGGGTGGTAAACAAGATGCCTGGGACTCACGAGCAAATAAATTTGAGGAAGTTGCAGGAGATGCGCGTGATGGCGCGGGGGATACCGTCGGCGGTGAGGCATAGTCACAGAAACAGGTCCGCAATTAACCCTGTTAGAGCATTTGTTTCGTTATTCGGAGGCGATCCTAGTTTTGCCGCGATTTGTTCCTCGGCAGGAAGTCTGCATTCTGCACAGAACTAAGGCCCTGTTAGGGTATTTGTTTGGCTGCCATAATATCATGTAGAAGTTCGGAGGAGAGCCCGAAGTTGTTATTACTTTGAAACCCAGGAGGAGATGGGAGCACTTATGGACATATGTGATGAAGATTATCTATAAAATGAACCATTAACACCTGGCTGGTGTAGATGTTATGGTTGCTCTAGTTATAAAATTAAAATATTTTTTTTTAAACTGAACGGGGATCTGGGTTCTGTCTTGTTGGTCTGTCGTCTAGATTTAAATTTACAAAATATCAAGATAGTATGGTAACATGTAGGTAGCTTCTGGAGGACACAAACAGATCAGTCCATGGAATAGATAACCTAACAGTGCCCAGCGAGTGCCTAGTTACACATATTAAATATATATTACACACACATATATATATATAATAGTCAGACACACAATATATTGATTGTCTATTTACACAGTAAGTTTAGAAATGTAGACAAATAAATTAATAAAAAATACAACATTATTATCAACTTTAAAGGTATAATAATTATTGTCTTCGCGGTTTAAAAAAAATGCATACTAATTTAATTCAAAACAATATTTTCCAGGAGTGAATTTGGTTCTATCCCAATAACTTCCCCCAAACATGAGAATGCCACAGGTCACACTACAGTCTAATATTTCAGGGGGTGTTGTCATGCATTCTTTGGGTCAGCTGTGGATGTTTTGGGTTTAAATAATTAGGAGATGAACATGTTGCATAATTTATTTCCTGTCCGAGTTAGCAAAAAATATCATGAGATTAAAAAAGAAATTTAGGCAGTCCAAATGAAAATCATTAACTGGTTACAAAGATAAGACATAGACAATAGATTATGTTTTTCGGACATGTTATGAGAAGGAATGGACTCGAGAACTTGGTAACAGCTGGCAAGTTTGGTGGAAAGAGAGCAGGGGGAAGACTGGGAGATAAGTACCTGGGTGGTCTGACCACATACATGGATGGATTGAGACAAGAACGCTGACCTTATCTGTAATCCTGGCGATTGTGTGAGATGACAAAACATTACAGCCTACGAGCATGATGATGATGATATTAAGCTTGAAAGTAACAGTGCTGAAGTAAATAAATAAGCTACAGATTAGGCCCTCAGTCTGCAGTGACCTGAACAAAATACAAATTTCTGTTTGGTTCGCAAATGCAGTTTAATTTTATTAAATTTCTCTGCAGTCTCCTTGTAATATATTTTAATCGTCCACCTCCAAGAGTTTTCTAATTGTGTTAATATAATTTTGGGTATATTTTCTCAGACTTTGTTCTGACTTGTACAATTATGTAATATATTTCTGTGAATTTGCAGACACATTCTTTATTATTTCATTTAATGAAATTTAAACGACAAAATATTTTGTATTAATGATGTATTAAACAAAAAATGGGGAGTAATCTGTTGCCAAAAAAACTAGTTGTGCCTTATGCTATTAATGGTGTGTGCAACCACTGATCTGTTGTAACTGCTGCTGCCATCGATGATGAACTGCATTTCTGGTGTTGGCACTTTTGACAGCTGCCTTGTGCATTTAAAGCATGTGTATGCTTTTGGCTTTTCTGGGACGGCAGTCTGCACCATTTTTTCCCCTAAAAGGAACACTGTGGACATTTTGTCTGGTTTTCACTGGCACAGCAACAGAGAAAGTATGGGATGACCCATTTGCTATGAAGTTGGAACTGGGATTATCTGATTTCTTCATTACTGTACTTTTATTATGTATTGTGTAAGTATCTTTAGTATATAGAAAAGACCTTTTTTTTAAATCTTTACTTTGCAGTTTGTGCACTCTTTTTAGATTGCTGCCTCACGTGTTTTCTTACTTATTTTTCACACACAAAAATCTTAATTTGTTTCAGTTTGTTCACACTGTGCAGGTTTTGAATTGTGTTGAAAACATGGAAGGAGACCCAGGTTTGAATTTTAAGTTTGACAAATATTATTTAATTTCCTGGGCCCCAGCCATTTACTTAATCATTCAGCCCACTTTAACTCAGCACTTAAACTTCTCCTATAAATGTCCCCTTGATTTGAACTGACTGACTGTGAAGATGATTAAAAAGGAAACAAATAGATTGAAGAAATGAAGACATCCAAGAGTAACCCTGAAATGATGAGACAGTCCAGAGGTGCTAGGCTGAGTTCAATACATGATTATCAAAGAATTCCATAGGGTAGAATTTGGACTACAAATAAGGGCTATCCTCCGAATAAAGGGCACATATTATGGCGGCCCCAAAAACACCCTAACAGGGCCTCAGTCACATGTCAATTGTGAAATTCCCGCGACTTAAATTGCGCACTTCTGGCGACTACCACCACCGCCGAGAGTATCTTCCATGCCGCTACGCGCAACGTGGATTGGGGCTAAACCCGATAGCTGGGACTCACGACCAGCAGCTTCCGCATCTCCTGCAGCTTTGCTCATGAGTCCCAGCCATCTAGTTTAGCCCCAATACACGGCTCGCATAGCGGCATGGGAGATACTCTCGGCGGTGGCAGTAGTCACAGGAAGTCCGCAAATTAAGTCGCCAATGTCCGAAATTTATTTACATGTGACTGAGGCATGGTTTATGGCCACCATAATATGTGCCCGTTATTTGGAGGATAGCCCAAATAATTTATGAAAAGACAAATATATTGAAGATACCAACAACAGATCAAGCAGATCTAACATTAGGGACAAAAGTAATTAAAGTTACAGATCAGTTTACTTAACTTTAATAATGAAGGAAATACAAAGAAAGAAATTGTTACACACGCTCGCAAGGCATCAGCAGCTTTTGATAGTTTGAACAAATTATGGAACTCTCAGTTGTGAAGTTTGAAAAACTAAGTTGCATATTTTCAGTTCTGATGGTTTTTCAGTTTTAACATTTGACAGTGAGAAATAACTACCAGAGACACGAAACAAACGTTAAAATCATTCGAAACAAGCTTTGAAATGGCAAATAAATGGATTAAGTAGGCGAGGATGCACCCCCCCCCCCCCCCCACCTCCTTTTTTCGAGAAAACAAAAACAACCTAAAATCAACATGGATGAGAGAGACCAAAGCTGCTAGACTAGATTCCATCCATGATATTGAACTGGCTGCACCCAATACAACAGAATGACGGAATATCCTGCTAGTCTTATATGACATATAATGACACAACAGAGCAATGAATGGGATATAATGGAATAGAGGAATAGACAATGAGATGCCAAATGGTACATCAGGAAATTGATCATGCTGATGTGATGGAGTATCATCTTCAGTGCTCTGTAAACATTGCAGCGGTTAGAAAATGTCTCACAGAGATCAGAGTAGTAGAAACAAAACTGCATTTTCTAAAATGAAAATCTTATTTTTCTTAGCTTTCACCGGATGTTCTCTCCTTCAGAAAGTTCTAGCTGTTTATCCATTTCTGGACTTTTGTCTTTTCAAGAACTTGAGTTTTGTCTGCACCTCTGTTTTATAGATCTGGCTTATTTTATGCAGACGGTTGGTTCCTTGTCTCTCAGGCAGGTGCATTACAACTTTAAAAGAAACAACCCAAGTTAATCGCCTTTTACAAGATGCTTGTTAGGGGGTGTAGTGGGTCTGTACTTTTTAAACCGAAAATGGGCCCCCGAACCCACACAAGGAGAAAATATTATCAATACATCGTTCTGATTCATCGTATGTTGTGCTGATAATTGTAGGCTGTAATGTTTTGCCAGAATCATAGATCATCTCAGTGTTCTTATCTTACCCCTTCTATATGGCCAAACCATACTGGTATTTATTGCTTTCCCCTTTTTCTTGCCCCTTTCCCATAATTTTTGATAGTCGCTACCAAGTTCTTGAGTCCTTTCCTTCTCATAAACGTAAGTGACATAACATGGGGTCAGAATCCTTGAGCTCCCCAGTTTTTTAAGGGGACTGAGACCCTTCCTACCTTCAGTATAACAAGAAAAAAAAAAAAAGTGTTTAAATGTTATGTCAATATGTATATAAATATTCAGTTAGTAGACTCTTACAACATGCTTGTTGGGGAGGCAGTGGGTGTGTTATCATCATCCTCACAATGGGGCTCTGGGATCCACAAGAGACAGAAGATTTCAATGAGGATTTTCTGTATGAGAGTCAAGCATTCTTAACCATTCAACCAGTCACTCTTGAGTTATTTCCTCAGTGTCTGAATTTCACAGCCATATGCTACAACTGGTTTTATGTAGTTAGCATGAACTACCTTTCTAACCTCCAATCAAAAGAAGTGCAACAAACACAAGCTGCGATACATTTGCAGACACAATTTTTGAGAAGAATCACATAAAAAGGAATGACCAAAACAAAACAAAAACCTGTGGCATTCCTCCTTAAGACATATGAAAACCATAACTGATAAAAGAAAGCAGACACAGGCGGTATTTTTTGGACATGTTTTTAGCATGAGCACCGACACAAAGAAAACTAACTGAGAGGCAAGGAACCAACATGATGCATACAGATGAGTCAGATAGGTAAAATGGATGCGCATGCAACAGTCAGGTTCTGGAACTTACGCCCAGAGGTGGGCGAACAACCAGAACTTTCAGCTGCAGTTACAGCCAGTGAATGCGAAGAAGAAATCCTCTGTAAGGTATTGGTGTTTTTTTTTTGTCAGGAGCAAAAATTAAAAACCCTAACCTGCGCACTCCTCAGTGACTGCACTCCTCAGTGACTGCACTCCTCAGTGACTGCACTCCTCAGTGACTGCATTAGCCATGTGGCACTAAATTATCAGATCCTAAATCATCAGGCTCAAAGATCCCCCATGCCTGCACTGCAGAAATTGTTAAATACATGCAGGAGTGGTCGTTTTAGCAGTTCAGAAAATAAGTAAATAAAATGCATTGAAACCTTAGGAATGCTAATAAGACAGCTAAAATGAGTAATATAAATGTTTTAGAAAAGGCCAAGTTATGCCATCAGTGCAGTAACTGATTACTACTTCCATGAATAATTACATAGAAAAATACAATTAATTAAAAAAAAACTAGGTCATATTTTGATAATAAGAAATTTTAATGAAAAAGAGGCAGAGGAAGTCAGTGAGTGAAAATTCTTGACGACCTTTTATCATTTCATGAAAATGTATCAGTACGTGAGCTATACATGCTACTAAAAAAGGTAAAAGTAAAAGATATAGTTTATGACATAGATGCATCTGGCATATGGTTGTAGGCCTATATTTTTATATGCCAGTCAGCACTCAGTGGGTGATGTAGTCATCATCGTACTAGATACCTTTATTTTCTTTGTCAATTACTGAACCCCCCCCCCCCCCCCCCCCCCCCCCCCCCCCCCCCCCCCCCAAAAAAAAAAAAAAATCTGCCTTCCTGACTAGTACTGACCTGGTTCCATCTTAGTAGGCACAAAGCACATCCACTCCATTCATACTGTTGAGCTCTTCAAGCAGTGAGTGCAGATCACAAATGCTGCCTGTCATTCATCATTGTGGTAATCTCTTTTCTGCTGCAGCAGCTCTTATGGGATAGAACTAAAATTCCAGTCAATCAAGAAGTGAGGAAAAGACACTGGCGTTAGACAGAACACATCTTAGAACCCATTAATAATATAAATACAATGTCTTCGCACAAGAAACCACAGGGCCGAAGAAATAAAGACAGACTCAAAATCATATGGGGAAGAGAATTAGAGAGTAAAGGGGAAAAAACGGGGATGGGCTTGCAGTTAGCTTCTAATAAATATATAGTAAAAGATGGATGACTTGAGGTGAGGTGGATGAGAGCCGTACTTCACTGGAAGAAGAGGCGCTGAATTAAGAAGCTGATGCAGTCTTGTTGCTTGCAAAAGTTTTGAATCCTGCACAACTGAGAGTTTCCTATCCCATACACATTCACACAAGCAGAGTTCAAACTGTATAAGCTTTTTTACCTGATTGACCTGGTTTTGTGTGTGTTGGCACAGAGGCTGAGATGTTCTCCATCGAAGTTAAGAAACTGGTGTTACCTGATGGAAGTACTAGGACTGATGTACTTTTAGACACAGAAAGAACTGTCAGGGCGGTAAGGAAGTTCATGTATAGAATAAACTGTTCTTCATCTTCTTGTTTTCTTGTCATATTGTTACCAGTTTGTAACCCAGTGTCTGGGTTTTCAGTATTTTTCTTGCACTGTTCGTGGGGGCTTAAATGATGAATTATTTTATTTTAAGATTCAGCAACAGCATCTCTTTATATTTTCCTTGGTTTTTCTTTCTCTTATCACCTAGATGTTCTTCCATCATCATCATGTAGCAGGTCCTATCCAGAATATCGCTCTTGTCACAGCCTGCCTGAAAGAAACTTAATCTGTCTTCACCTCTGCCAACCTCATGCACTTTCCTAACCAAGAAATCTCCTATATCATGTGCCCATCTTTGTGCTGGTCTACCTCTGCCTCTCTTTTCTAATAACAAACCCTCGACCACTGTTCTTTCCAAACCACCGCTTGATGTGACAAAAATAATGTTCTTCCATATAAAGTTTTATGTACAGTTTGGTCTGGTTAAAAGGAAGTGATAAACAAGTATTAAAAAAATGTGTATTATTTTTTTCACCAGCGATAAACTCTGGGAAAAATTTCTGATTGTTCAACCACTTCTGGACTTAGGTCTTGTTCCAGAACTTGAGTTTTGTGTGTACATCCATCTTTACAGATCCGGCTTATTTGTATGCAAGCTGTTGGCCTCTTGTCTCTCAGGCAGATGTACTCAGTCTTTGAAGGAAACTCTCCCAACTGCCAGTTATAGCAATGTTTAGTAGGAGGGGGTAGGTGGTCTATTAAGTTGCTCCTTCAAAATGGATGCAGAGAATATAATGTGTGACTAGAGAGCTTCATCAGCCATTTGTTGCTGGAAGCTGTGAGAAGAAAACTCATCTAACTTGCATGTTGTAAAAGGTGACTGGGGATGGTTGGCTTGAGTTTGGCTGCCTCTTTTTCTTAGAAAACGTTAGCTACAGATCCAACCAATCATGAACCTGTCCACAGAGGACTCAGTGTGAGTTGGTTGAGAGACTATGCTCATTTAGGAGATGAAAGACTAAAGCAAAACAAAAAATGAGGAAGAGGAAGGAAGATATGATGACATTACACCAAGTGTTGATATCATGATAGCATTACACTGAGTGTTGATGATTTGTTTTATCATGATAACATTACAGTAAGTATTGATATTTCTATCATAACACTGAATAAATTTTGATATTTCTGATTCTATCAAGCCATTCTATCAACACTGAGTGTTGATTGTATCATAACATTACATTGAGATTTGTTTCTTTTATAGCAGCTAATAAACTTAGTGTTTTGATGCTTCTATGATGATATTCTCCATAGCCCACAACTGAATCGTTGATGAATTTAACATGTCTGTTTGATTGTAATTATCAACGACAAATGTGTTCCTCAGGAAAAGGAGAGAATTCTCAGAGAGGCTGAAATCCCATACCCCATCCTCTATGTTATGACAGTACATGGTCCAAACAGATCTCGTGAGGTTCTTGAAGACTCCAAATTTGTGGAAGCATATGCAGAAATACTCGCAGGTGGTGCAGAGTATGTGATTCACATTGAAAAGAAGAGGTGAGGCTGTCCAGCAAAAATGCTTTGTATTTGATTGTTTTTCTTTCTTTAGTAATAGTAGAGGAAAAGGCTAGACAGGTGTACAATTAAAAAGTTACTGTTACAAACTGGAATTCTTTGCTTGTTGCTGAAGATGGGGATGGAGCGGTTATGGGAGTGTCCCCATTGCTGTGATGTCGATTCTTAATTCAACAATCGACATTTTAGTAATAGTAGTTGTAGTCAAGGTTTCAATTTCATAGTAAATGGGTCGCCTTGTAATTGCTGTGTTGTTAGTTAGTTAGTCGACAGATAGTCCTTGATGGGCACTGACCCATTCAGTGCATAAGTGCTCAGATTTTCTCCTCAGTCAATCCCACAGCATGTACTGGAGGGGGGGGGGGGGGGGAGTAAATTACAGGACAAGAACACTGACCTGCTCCCTGATTTTATTAAGTGTGTAACATGTTGAGCCATAATTAGCAGTGTTGATCAGCATGGCACATGATGGTGATTATGGATGCTGCCACAAAGAAAGCATTGGAAGACGGAGGGGTGTATTCAGGCCCCTTACAAATCTTCTTGGAGAGTGGGGTTTTCAAGGAAAGTAGTAATGATCAAAATAAGGTGCAGAGTTGCAAATAAAAATAATTGTGTCTTAAATCATATCAAATATATAACACTCCATTAAACAGTGGACTTCTAGACATGGTTAGGGCGACTGCTTCGCACCTTATGCAATTTACAGGGCTCTCAAAATCCAACTTTTTGTTTTTTCAAGCGGAAAGTAATAAAAAAAATAATATGCTGAGTGGCGAATAAAAATAATGATATCTTGAATTATATGAAATATATAACACACCCTTAAAAAGATGACTTCTAGACATGGTTAGAGAGGCTGATTCACACCTTACACATTTTCTAGGGTTCTCAAAATCCGACTTTTCTGTTGGGGGGGGGGGGGGGGGGAAATTGGGGACACTTAAGAAGCCTATTCTGACAGAATCCACGCCTGATGGTGATGGTAGTGTAAACAATATGTGTTCTCATCGTTTTTTTTTTTTTTAAAACCAAAAACAAAATAACATAGAAAGTTAGTCTCTGATTTTGTTTGTTTATCCCACAGTTCTCAGGTGGAGCGGCCACCGAGGGCAGTCAATCTCAAAATCCGACTTTTCTGTTGGGGGGAGGGTAGGGAGGGAATTGGGGACACTCAAGAAGCCTATTCTGACAGAATCCACGCCTGATGGTGATGGTAGTGTAAACAATATGTGTTATCGTTTTTTTTTATTTTAAACCAAAAACAAATAACATAGAAAGTTAGTCTCTGATTTTGTTTGTTTATCCCACAGTTCTCAGGTGGAGCGGCCACCGAGGGCAGTCAACCCACAGCTGTTCAACATCAGCTTGAAGTGAAGGAAATCTTGAGACTATCCATGTGAAATCTGCTGTCTACGTGTACATTTTTTTAGCACTAAATAGACATAACAGTTTTTCTTTCATGTTCTTTTCTTGTCTTTTTCTGCTTATATTTCTGCATTTGCTCTCATAAGGCAGTTTGCATGTTGTGTTGTGGTTTACAGCTAGGATGTGGTATCTGTGCCTTTCTGTTGAACACAAATGATTTCAACAAACTCCTAATTAGCCATCTTTCATTACATGCTTGTGGGAAATAACACACACACAAAAGGGGGAGAGTGGGTCTATTATTTTTAAACTGTTTTGTGATTGGTCCTAAACTGCTATTCCTGTAGTGAACATCGTGCCACGTGTAATTGGCTCAACTTGGTATGTCCCAGCCAAGGAAACAAGTGTGAGTGACTCAGCTTCATGTGTTGCAGCCAACATTTCACATGTGACCGTACATCTTTACATTTAGTCACAACATACCGAAGAAATCTGACAATGTGTTAGTGTGTCAAGTGTGTATGTTTCACGCCTGTGAAAACACCTACAGAGTTCTGATGTGAGAGCAAGAGGGTGCCCATTGTATGTATATGTGGAATTAGAATGACACATGCCATCCATCAAATTCCTCCCATCATTAGTGTCAAAAGTAGAAGGATAATGATGATGAAAGCAATACACAAATAAGAAAATGTGAACACTTGCTTTAGCACATGTTCCCGTGAATATTATGTTTGTCATTGATAAAGACTTAATAAATATGTTTCTCCAGTTGATTCCAGGGCCCCATCTTGCCAGGAAAACAAGAAAAGCCTCTCCCCCCCCCCCCACCCCCCACACAAGCATGTTGTAAAAGGCAATAAATTAAGGATGTACTGAAAGCACATGTGTAGGGCCAAATATACACAGATTTCAAGCCTAGGTGTAAACAACATAATATGCCAACCACCCTTTTCAGAGTGAATGCAGAACGGGAAGATTTAAAATTGTTATATTTAGCATAACTTGGTCTCTCAACGGGCATTTAAGTTTTAACAAGGTCTTTTTTATGTCCCTTTCCGACTTGTATCCGTTCAGAAAAATTCATTATGTGTTCATGTCTGCCCATGCCTGATTGCTGTATGCATGTATGTATGTACACATATGCATACAGGTATCATCTATTAAGTCCTTTTGTCATTATAGGATCATCCTTTCACTGTGCTCTAATCTTCTCTTTAGCAGGTTCTTAAGCATGTTAAATGTTGAATTAAAAATTGACATCACAGCACTCGGGACACTCTCATATGTACTCCATCCCCATCTTTTCCTGAGCGTTGAGCGTCGGCCAGATCCCCTGGTAACTCCTCGCAGCGCCTTTCTCCTTAGACTTTAATGATCTATCTGAGCCTCCGCCCTACTCATTCGTTTCCAAAGGGCCCCTACAATATCTAGCTTGTCATACACAGTTCACCACCAAGTGGTGCAAAGTTGGCCAGTCTATCTACCTAATCATTTCTCAACACACCGACATGACCCAGAGAAAATTTCCAAAGAATTCTAAACACATATGACCTCTGAAGTGATGCTTGCCACTCTGCATGAAGCATGCCTGTCTTCACCTTTCTCAACATGCTCTGTGAGTCAGTTAAATCACTGCATGTGTACAGCTGATGCTGAAGGCAGCAGAGACTGCTAGCATGTTTACAATGACTGTTACTGAAAAGTGTTCATTTTATGATCTTCAATGCTTATGTGAATTTATTGTTTACAATACTGAATGTATAACAAATTTGAAAGAGGAGTGTACGAGGGGCTGTGTACAAAGGACCTGTGTCCCCAGTTAGAGAATTTTTGCAAATAAAATGTGTTAGTTCAAGCTTTGTTTTGGGGTAGTTTCTATTAGGTTAGCATGAAGTAGTAATATTATGTTCAACCCATCTGGATTATAACTGCCATATAAAGTGGAGACCTGATAAGCAGAACTCACCAGGGACCCAAGGAATAGTTCTTATAAGAAATTCCTCTTATCCAGAGTTCAAGCATGTTGTAAATACTGGGGATAAACAAATTGTTCTTCACTACAGAAATTCACCTCATCCATGATCACCTTAAGCAGTCTGATTTTTTTTTTCTATTTCAGTATTAGATATTAATGCTTGTCATTTACTTTTGATTATTTAATACTGCATTGATTATGTATTAATTTTATTATAATATTTTAAGTTTACTTTTTAAAATAATTTTGACAATCATATTGTGAAATTTATAAAAATTATCAAGTTTTACAACCCAGATCACCTTGTCACAAAATTGCAACCAAACCACAGCCAGCAAAACATCATCATCATCGTAGCATTCTTTCTAGCCCAACAAAACCATATAAAACAACAAACAGTGTAAGGGTCAGTTCTCACTCCTGTTGTCAATTCATTTATTAGGCCACTAAAAACATGCAAGGTTAAAACAAAGACTAAGAGCAAATCAGCTGGACAAGCTGTAGCAAGATGGGTATAAAATTCCAAATAGTACATCCCAAAGTTAACATGTCTTGGGTAAAAACGGCCAGTGCCACATGGATGCTAAATATAAAGGAACAATCTTCTTCCTAAGCTGTGCTAGAGTCCCCAAGCTGTGCTAGAGTCTCCAAGCTGTGCTAGTGTCTCCAAGCTGTGCTAGAGTCCCCAAGCTGTGCTAGAGTCTCCAAGCTGTGCTAGAGTCCCCAAGCTGTGCTAGAGTCCCCAAGCTGTGCTAGAGTCCCCAAGCTGTGCTAGAGTCTCCAAGCTGTGCTAGAGTCCTCAAGCTGTGCTAGAGTCCCCAAGCTGTGCTAGAGTCCCCAAGCTGTGCTAGAGTTCTCAAGCTGTGCTAGCGTCTCTAAGCTGTGCTAGCATCTTTATTCTGTGCTAGAGTCTCCATGCTGTGTTAGAGTCCTCAAGCTGTGCTAGGGTAACCAAGCTGTGCTAGGGTCTCCAAGCTGTGCTAGAGTCTCCAAGCTGTGCTAGTCTCTCCACACTGTGCTAGAGTCTCCAAGCTGTGCTAGAGTCTCCAAGCTGTGCTAGAGTCCTCAAGCTGTGCTAGAGTCCCCAAGCTGTGCTAGAGTCCCCAAGCTGTGCTAGAGTTCTCAAGCTGTGCTAGCGTCTCTAAGCTGTGCTAGCATCTTTATTCTGTGCTAGAGTCTCCATGCTGTGTTAGAGTCCCCAAGTTGTGCTAGGGTAACCAAGCTGTGCTAGGGTCTCCAAGCTGTGCTAGGGTAACCAAGCTGTGCTAGAGTCTCCAAGCTGTGCTAGTCTCTCCACACTGTGCTAAAGTCTCCAAGCTGTGCTAGAGTCTCCAAGCTGTGCTAGAGTCTCCAAGCTGTGCTAGAGCCCGCCGGTGCACAAATCATAAGCCCTTAGTGCACATAAATTTTGCCTCAGCATGAGCAAATATATAATATCAAAATGTACACCAAACATGTCAGTTCATTCTGTGGTTTAAAGGATACTGATTAAGATGTTTGCCTGTTGTTTTGAAGGTCAGGGGATTATTTAAAAATGCATCATATAGTTCGTGTGTGTTATATTTTGGATATCTCCAAAAACTGTCACTAAAGCCGAGCAATTCAAGCTTTGTATGAGATCCTCAGCCTGTGATAGCTACTCTATGGAGGGAGACTGAGCCATGTGAGAGCAAGCCTGGTGCAAAAGTGAGCATCTCACCTTTAAACATAATTACTGCTAGTGGGGGGGGGGGGGGGGGGGGGGGGGGGGGGGGGGGGGGGGGGGGGGGGGGGAGGGTATGAAGGAAAGGACCCTTTTCCATGCCTTTAGGCGTACTGGGCATATAGGGCTAGACCTATATTTTATAGATCAATCGGCACTTGGTGGGTGATGTGGTCAGCATCATGCCAGCCACCTTTACTTCCCAGGACTTGTACCTGGTACCCGCTCAAGGCTGGGTTGACCTGGGAGCCATGGTCATTTGTGAAAAAAGTCAGGCTCAGTCAGGACTCGAACCCATGATTTTCCAATCCACAGGCGAGTGTCTAGCCACTATACAATGAAAGCTCCCATTACTGCTAGTAGCTTACAAAATAAATATTTGCTCGTTAAAACTCAGCAGCTTAAATGGAGCACTGATAGGGACAGAAACAATTGGTTTTATTTTTTTTAAAGTCAGGTGATCAGTTTTCTTCCTCACTGCCTTTTAATTCCAGTTTAAATATCAGGTGCCTGTGTTAGGATCTAGCGTTTTGACCCAATACCGCGACTTGGTGTCCAAATGGTCTTAACCTTGTCACCTCAAGAAGCTGCAAAACTGACACTTCTAGGTCCTCTTCCCTGAGAGTCACTTTTCTAGCCTGGCTATAGTGAATTGTTCATGAGATACCTAGCTAACAGCAATGTCATTGCTTGAATCTGTGGACATGTTTAGAGGGGCAAGGAATGATCACATTTACTAAACAGCATTTGGAGAGGTTTCAAACTGCTATCATAGCTGGGGTACTGGGAGTTAAGGATGTGTTCTCAACTCTCACCAAATATCCTTAAGGCATGTGCACCCATCACCTCTCACAGCAAAAAGTCCAAATCCTAGCCTTCTCATGGCGGTACTGTTTAAAGCTATAGGAGAAGCGGCGACAGCCAGTATCTGGCTCCTTGAGTATGATCAGTCTACCCTAGCAACACAAGGTGCTGAAGTCGGAGGCAGGCAACCAGCCACGAGGCACACGACAGTAATCAGGCAGTCATGTACATGGAAATTTGTCTAACCCCCCCCCCCCCCCCCTCCCCACCACCCCCCCCCCCATATTTTTTTTGCGGATATTAATCCTGTTTTGCTTGATAATGGAAAACAATTTGAGGGGGGGGGGGGGGGGTGTAAAATGTTTATATTTTAAAAGGAATTGTGTAGGAATTCCCTAATATAGTTTGCTGACATTTTTTCTATAGGTTAGCGGGGTGACAGGGTTAAAATCTTATACAGCATGATATCTGAACAAACAACCCCTACATAAGCTATAATTGTTTTTTTTTCTTCTTTTAAATCTATCTCTGCTTACATCAATCATTCACACAGAACATTTAAGAAAAAAAACAATATGAATAAACTTGACCATAGAAGACAACTGAAGGAAAAAAAACGCACAAGCAAGCCATCTAGAAATTTTCATCTTAGATTTAAAAAAGAAATTAAGTTCTGTGACCAAAAAAAAGTTAAGAAAGTGCTGCTCAAAAAGGGGAAAAAAATACAGCCTATAATTATTGTTCTCACCTGGACAGCATTATAAACTGAGCCCAAAGGGAATATCCAAAGATAAAATTAACCACAAATGTTCATGTTAGTCAGAATAACCAAGAGAGAGCTTTAAATGCAAAACTTTAAAGTGTGATAGAAATTGCAATAACCAAGCTACTGTTTTGTAACCTATCAATACTGTTGTTAAGGATATCTAGTGTGTTCAGCACATGACATCACAGTGCAGGTGAACAAAGTGACATCAAAATGACAGTATAAAAATGGCCACCCCCTTCTGACATGCACCAAGGAGGAGCATCATTCTGTTATCATTTGTGTAAAATCAAAAAATATTAGCTAACTATCACCCTAAAAGGGAGAGCCATAAAAACATGGTCACTGGCATACTTGCCTAGCACTGGTCATGTACTGGAAGGCCCTTCACTGCTATGGCCTCTAAGGATGACCCAGCTTGAGATCAAATATTAAAACATTTCCTGGGAAGTAAAAGCACCTGGTGTGATAGTGACCACACCAACACCCCCCACCCCCTCTTCAAATCAAATGTTGACTGCATAAAAGCTATGAAGCCAGCACCACATATACAATGTGTGCAAAAAAAGAGATACTTCACTTTTTCTTTGTTGCTGTATCTATGGGCAGCAGTAGTCCACTTTTTGTATTCCCAGCAGTTTTCTGTGTCCATGTTTTATTGCTTACTCTAGATTCTTACATCCTTGAAGTTGCTGTTGCCGGATTTTTCCTATTATCTAGGATCACTACAAGTCCCATTTAGATATCAAGAAGAGAGGAAAGACAATGCCTTGAAAAAAAACAATAAAACAGTCTTATAGAACAAAAAAATGTCGAAGATTGCACAGACAGCTCAAGTAACAAATGAAGATTTTTCAAACAAAAAGTGCTCAAGCACTTGTGGTGCACCATAATCAAGATACAAACTGGTCATGGCCTATCAGCACCTCTTTATGACCGCAGAAACAGGTTCTCAAGCAGACAGGGTCTTGACATTTCCTTGGAAGTAATACTGCCTCTGCCTGAGAAGCTTAAAACCAACAGTTTGCACATATATAAGCCAGATCTGTTAAACAGCTGTGCATGCAAAACTCAGCTCCTAAAGCAAGACCACCAAATTCCAGATATGGGCAAAAAGTATGTATGGTACAGACTGTTAGTTCATCAACTCTCAGGCAGGTGCAATGTCTTGTAATAAAAGACCCATAATAAAATTACTTTTACAACACAATTGGGGAGGGGGGGGGGGGGGGAAATATTACTCCCCCCCCCCCCCCCTCCATAATGGGGCTCTGAACCCTTAAAAGGAGCAAGAATTCCTTAATAAATTAAACAAAGTAGCACACAGCCTAATTAGTAGCCTCATTTTATGAGAGGGAAGGAGTAAAATTTGTGTACATCCAGTGTGCTAATGGAACTGTCAGCATCTGCACTTGAAGACATTTGCTGCCGAAGATGCAGCATCTACGGGTGTGACCAATCAGCTATGATCTCGATTCAGAAATCATTACTCTATTTTTATGAACTAAACAAAAAGCACGCATCATGAGTATCTTTATGAATTAAACATAACATTACATAGTCTAATTACTGTTATGAACTAGATAAAACAGCATACAACATGAACACTTTTATAAAAAGAAAATAACAATTAGCTCAAGTATTTTTATAAACTAAAAAAAAAACGGCACAGCATGAGCATCTGTGAACAAAACAAAACAGTACGTAGCTTGAGTAGCTTTAGGAAATAAAAATAAAACATGGCTAGAATGTGTTATATCAAACTAGATAGACTCTAGGATTACATACTGAAAAATCAACATCCAGTGACTCAAAGAGACACTACTTGGATGACAATCCAATAGGAACAAATACCGGAAATGCAGGGCACCGACAATTATTGTATAACTTGCAATACAGTGTGGGAGAAAGGATTATACTTGATGCATACTTTGAAATTTATAGCATTAAAACAGACCCTGTCACAGTAGCTCTGTGGTTTGATATTTTCATTGAAATGGTTACAAACGATGATACAAGCTGCATGCACCAACATTTCTTCATAAAATGACCTAAAACAGTGATTGTCAAGAAAGCCAAATTACACTGGTTTAAACTGAAGGCAAACAGAAGAAAGCTAAATATTATATTAAGATTCTAAGGAGAGATAAGCATGGTCTAAACATCAGTTAAAAAACAAATATTTAAAAAGGGAAACATACATAAAAGCTTTAGGATAAGTCTTTAAAAAAAAAAAACTACTTAAAGGGAGGACTATCACAAAAGTCTAAGGACAGATTAAAACGGAATTACTAAAAAGGGGAGACAAGCACAATAATAATAAAGACAGATTAAAACTGAATGGCTCAAATTGAAGACAAGCATAAGAATACAAAGAACAGTTAGTTTTAAAAATCACTCAATTAAAGGAGAGGCAAGCACAATTATTTTCACAGGTTACAATGAAAGCAAGACATGTAGGAAGACAGACAATCTTTGCTTTCAATTAAGACTAATCAAAGGAAAGTGTTTTCATTCACAGAAGACAGGCAGCAGTGATGACGAGAGGCAAACATATTTATTAAACATGGAAGGAAACAGAATTCTAAGGGGGCTGTAGGCAAAAGTTAATACAAAGAGAGGCAAAAGAAATCTGCTACTGTACACAGCTAAAAACAGATCAATAATAAATATGAAATATAAAAAATATAGAGTGTCTGCTTGTTGAACAGGATGGGTGGTCTGGGCTGCAGACAAGCCTATGACTGGACATCTTCTTTGCCAATGCGCTTTTTCCGCACTGAAATGAAAAAAATAGGCAGAGATATAGTACACAGAAAATAGTGAACCATCAATGGGGTATAAATCTTTCAGAATGCAATCCTATAGAGCCACCCCGCTGCTGGCAGGGCCCCTAATATAACACAATGGTTGAATGGGGTTTCTGGGACTTGTGCCTAGGTGATTCTCATCCAAATAGTGGCACTTTGTGTCATCAGATGTTTATCACTCATTGTGAGGTCCTGGTGGGGTTAAATGTTCCTGACTCATCCCAGAGGGGAAAATAACTTTGAAATTTTTTTACAGTTTACCCACAATCAACCAACAATTAAAAAAAAGGTAGGTTACTTTGTGACTAGGGCACCTCAGCATAAGTGTTTTAATATGTTTTAACGGGGCTTCTAGGAACTGCTTCTGTTTCACCTGCATCCAGACAGTGGCTCTCAAGATCACGGGATGTCAATCTTTCAATTTGTATTTATGGAGAGGAACCCCTCCCTTTTCTTTTGATGTAGCTGTTATGGGTGTCCCAATTACAACTTTCCTGAAGGCTGAACGTGCTATATGGGACTTCCCTTGTTGAAGTGGCATCCGTAATGTGACCTTCAAGTTTTAGTGCTCACTATCAGAGAGAGAGAAAAAAAACGAAGGGGAAGGGGGCATGGAGAACATATTTTCAGATTCAAAGGTATACCACGCAAGTGATGGATTGAAGGAATATCCGAGGCCATAAATACCAGCATCTTAGTAGCACTATTAAGGCTGGCACCAGCTGCCTCTTCAAAATCTGATGCAGAAAAGCATAAGAGGACTGCAGCAGGAGATGACTGTTATCCACTGTCTGTTGTTGTTTCATCATGTATATGGAAGAATTGTGGAAGATGTTGAGAGGATGCTAAATGTTGAAATAAGAATCAACATCATAGCACTCTAGACACTCCCATAAGTGCTCAGACCCCATCTTCTGCAGCAAGCGAAGAGTTCCAATTCCAATGGTACCAGTAATCGTCTGAATGTTTATCTGTCTCGCCCTTCCCCTAAGTGTTGAGTGGTAACTCCTCGCAGCGCCATTCTCCTTAGACCGCAATGATCTATCTGTGCCTCCGCACTGTTCACTCGCTCCCAAAGGGCCATCACAATATCTAACTTGTCATTCATCAATTCGCCACCAAGTGGTGCGAGCCAGCCAGCTTATCTGTCTGCTCATTTCCCAACACATTGGCATGACGTGGAAAAAATATCCAAAGGATCCTAACTACCCGGGACCTCTGAAGTGATGCTTGCCACTCTGCACGAAGCATGCCTATTTTCACCTTTATCAACATGCTCCGTGAGTCAGTTACAATCACGGCATGTGTGTACAGCTGATTCTCAAGACAGCGGAAGGCAGCAGAGACTGCCTCCACCTTCATTCTCAAACTAGACGTTGTGATATCATTTGCTAAAAGGAAGGGTTTGAAGTATGAGGAACTACAGCTTTTGAAAAAAAAAAATGAAGAGAAGTAAAGAGGAACAATAGAAAAAAAAAAGGTGAAAAGTGAAAGAGGAGAAAGCAATAAAGAAGATGTAGGAAGCAACCAAAACCAAAAAAATGTAGAAGTTAGACAAAGAAGAGAATGCAGCAATAAGAAAAAATAAACAAAATGGCTGTTCAACTCACAGGCATCCAGATTTGCCTTCAACTTGTCATGAACTTTGATTCTGGCATCAGGGTACTCAAAATGGATACCTAACCTCAACAGCTTGTTGTTCTCCTTCACCAGTTTGGCAATCTGCATCTCTGCCTGGTTGCCAAGTACCTCTGGTTTCTAGTGACCACAGCATGAAAGTTGAATGGAGGAAACAAATGGGTTACAATTCAATCATTCTACTGTACTCACTCTCAAACCTTCACATTTACACCTCTGGTAAAACTAGCAGTTAATCTGTTTCAGCATATTTGTTGCACCATACTTTATGTGCCAGTGAATGTGTGTATCTTTATCTTCTTTTTCTGTACTCACCATTAAAGGATGGTGGGCATGATGTGGTTTACAGCTTGACAGAAATATCTGCCCCTTTCTGTCTAACACATTCGATTTAAGTAAAACCTTAATTAGTTGCCTTTCATGACCTGCTTATCGGGGGGGGGGGGGGGGGGGGGGGGGGGGGGGTTTTATTTTTTTTTAAAACTTCAAAATAGAGGACTGGAACCCATACCTTGAGTATTTAAATTCAATATCAGCTATTTGCCTAGGACCCGCTGTCCAGACTTCTGTTAAAATTATCTAGATTTTTCCCCGTAAGTATCAACAAAATAGTTGATAAATGTCTACAAAATATATAGGAAAGATGTTTCTTTCCTATATCAAGGAACAAATGTTATCACACTAGGTGATTTCAGAAGCTCATGGTCTCCGATGTCGAGGACCACATATCTTCATGCTTCAAAGACTGAAAAGGTTTTTATGTCACACTCTCTTCATGGGATGACAGACATACAGCACCCAAGTCTTGCACACCCACTTCAATTCGTCACATGCATGATAAAAATAAAAATGTTGTCTGCTTATCAGGACGAAATCAACATTATCACCCCTCCCAAACTTATCATGTCGAAAAAAAGTAACTATCTCTAGCAAGAAACAAAATTATCACCCCTCCCAAACATATTATGCCGAATAAAAGTAACTATCTCTAGCAAGAAACAAGATTATCACCCCTTCCCAAAACTTGGCATGTCGAAAAAAAAGTAACTATATCTAGCAAGAAACAAAATTATCACCCCTACCAAACATATTATGCCGAATAAAAGTAACTATCTCTAGCAAGAAAGAAGATTATCACCCCTTCCCAAACTGGTCATGTCAAATAAAAGTAACTATCTCTAGCAAGAAAGAAGATTATTCCCCCTTCCCAAACTGGTCATGTCGAATAAAAGTAACTATCTCTAGCAAGAAACAGATTATCACCCCTCCCAAACTTATCATGTTGAATAAAAGTAACTATCTCTAGCAAAGGGTTCAGATAACAACAAAAATAACAATAGCAATAACATCCATAGCCAGTTGTTCATTTGCCTGGGTTGTAGAGCCACATGTGGTGATGTACCAGGATTAGGATTCAAGGCCTATATACACCTCCAAGTGGTCGTCACAGAAATAGATTCCCTACTATACATGACAACACTAGACTAGACAACACAGACATGATCTATGTTCAGAGTTTGATCTGCCCAAGAGGCAAGAACCAACAATTTGCATTTTTAAAAGAATAAGCCAGATCTGTAAAATAAATATGTGTGCAATACTCAACTCCTGGAACAAAGGCAAGTCCCCAATATAGATAAGCCAAGACTTTCTGCCGGAGCTTACAGCCACAACATGAAGAAGAAGATGATTTGCTTATACTGTGTTTGAACAGAGGAAAGATAAGAAAGACAGCTCAACTCTGAACCCTACCTGATTGGCCACTCTCAGCTCCAGAAGCGACTGGTTGACATTGGCTGCCTTAATCAGCTCCACTATGGCCTCGGGAGTGATGTAGTTGGACTCCACATTTACTGACTTTAGTGTAGTATTCTCTCTCAGGGCATCAGCCAGAGCCTGTGAAAGTCAAAAGTTCATGATAATTATATCTTGGTCTCCCTCTGCTTGACAAGTAATGCACAAAGCATAAACTCAGTTGCTCAGAAAACAATCCTTGGGGATCATAAAAATTGCCCCATGAACTAAATGACATGTCCATGAAATGAGCTCAAGGTAAACGGCTTGACCACTTTGCCAGGGAGACCCCGCCCCACTCCCACCCCTTTTCCCCATGGAAGTTAGAGATGATGATGGGTAGTTAGTTAATTGGGTTATCATCATTGAACTCCAGACATGTCCACAGGTGATCAGATTCTCCCCTCAGTATGAACACCAGCGTCTGCTGGCTAATAGTACCAGTTCTATATTGATTAACAAGTTCTTGGATGTGCCTGATATGCATTTCACTTGTTATTATGCTAATCTTAACTCCCAAGTCTATCATTCTGGGGAGCAATGAGGATTCACTGCCCCCAAAGTCCTCCACCCTTCCCTTTTCTCGGAGGGCATCAACAATATCAGCACAATCAGAGGCGGACCATAAGCAGTGATAGAGGATATAGCCAACCTGTCAGCTCTTTTATTTCCATTGATGCCTGTTTGTCCCTGAACGAAGATAAAGGTGACTCCACACACAGTGAACTTCTGTAATGATTCAAGCCATTGCCTTTCCAGATGATAGGTAAATAGAACTGACTGTAAAGAACAATGGGCGATTCTTAAGAGTGAAAAGTAAAATTTTTCTTCATCTGCCTGGTAGGGAACAGACATTGGAAGCAATCGGTCCTCCACCCCTCTCATATGATATCCTAATTAAACTGATATTGCTTGGTTTATTACATTTCAATATATTTGTTGATCAGCTTTCCACATACTTCCTATGTATTCATCTACTTTGCTTGTCTACTCATTATTATCATCCCTAACCACACACCAATATGGGATGCAATTTTTTTATTTTATTTTAAAGCCCCACCCCGGCTGTAGTCAGGGGCCCTAATATAACCTAACAGTTGAACGGGTATCTGGGACTTGTACCTGGGTGATGTTCATCCGAATAGTGACACTTTGCGTCACCGGGTGTTTATCGCTTGTTGTGCAGTCCTGGTGGGGTTGAACTTCCTCACTCATAATCGTCATGCCTGCCATGTTGATAAGCATAGGCTGTCATGTTTATCCATCTCATATAATCACCACAATCATGGATCAGGTCAATGTTCTTGTCTCACCCCCATTCAAATGGTTAAGCCATCCAAGTATACATTTCTTTCCTCTTGCTCTCTACATCATTTCTGCCAGTAATTACCAAGTTCTTGAGTCAAATCCTTCTCATAACATGCCTAAAAGACACTATCTATGTCTGACTGTTCTCATCAGTTCACGATTTTCAAGTCTCGAGGAGGAAAAGGTCTGCTCCTTTCCCCCATGAGGCAAATTTCTCTATTCCTTTTCTTCTGCTAACAGGCCCACTCAAATGGTTAAGCCATCCAAGTATACATTTCTTTCCTCTTGCTCTCTACATCATTTCTGCCAGTAATTACCAAGTTCTTGAGTCAAATCCTTCTCATAACATGCCTAAAAGACACTAACTATGTCTGACTGTTCTCATCAGTTCACGATTTTCAAGTCTCGAGGAGGAAAAGGTCTGCTCCTTTCCCCCATGAGGCAAATTTCTCTATTCCTTTTCTTCTGCTAACAGGCCCACAGATTTCATTTGTCTGCCTCTTTGGTTCTGATGAGCCATCTATTAATCAAACAATTCAGCATCTGTCTTCTTTTTTCCTTCCTTCTCCTGAATGAATCAGCATTCTTCTTATAAAACAACATGTCCACTGTTTAACGTACCTCAGGCATTTCATTGTACATTGCTTGGCATGTGTAAGTGCAATTTTTTTAATGATCTGATTCATTCTGCTAATGGTTTCTTCTTCTACATCTGAGTGACATAATTGAACTGTGCCTGTTCACAGCATAGCTGCGATATATGCACCTTTCGGCAGTCAAATCTGCCTTGCTATTTGATACTAATCAAATTCTAAGGCAGCTTTCTTTAGGACTGCAATAAACAGATGCATGCAAGTCAGGGGATACAATCTAAAACAGATATCAAACAAAGACAGACACAGTATGACAATACAGACAAAATCAATCGAACACAGAAGAGAATCTAATTACCTTGGCAACCTTATCATTTGCTGCGACCCCGGCCATGTCAAACCGAACACAGACTGTGTTGTTCTTTAGAGCATCACAAACTTCAATCAGCCTCTCCAAAGAAATATTCTGAATGTGAAAATATAAAAACTATAACAACAGCTGGTGTTAAATTTCATAACAGACAAAGACAGTAGAATTAAAACAGTTAACACTCAACAAAACATATTTGTGCTACCCATTCAACCACAGCCTGATGCTTAGACTTACTTTAATGTTGTTGAGATTCAGAGTTTTCAAGTCCTTGTCATTCTCCCGGAGTTTTTTTATGCTCTCCTCTATGTCTGTCATGTTTGGAGGCTCGTCTGGGATAACCTTCAACTTTTGGGCTTGAGCGTGTCCTGTTAGGGAAAGATATCTAAAGTATTATATAGGATTATCTACAGTTAGTTCCCATAACAAATGGAAATCACGAAAATTAATCTAATTATTCAATAAAAGAGTCATGTGTGGTTCATCATCATGTGACAGGTCTTAACAGACAACAGAATACTGCACAAATCACAGCCCATGTGAAAGAGACTCCATCCCCTGGAAGATTTTCTGCCTCATGTACCATTATGTATATATTTTTTTAAATAAACATAACTTGCATTATTGATAACATGCAACTGTGGGCTGAAAGATGAGTGCTTGGAAGGGCCGAATGTAAGACGGGCCTGTGTGCCCAATTTTTAACCTTTTGAAAATAAAGTTTGTTTGTTCGTTAGTTCTCTCACACACACAGATGCGAACACACACACTGACAATATCATACCAAAAAAATAGACTAGCTGAACATTTCTAATGAACAATCTGGCGTAACTGTAATGTCTAATCTTCAAACAGACTACCTGTCAAGATTATATGTTATTAGATTACAATCACATCTAATCTACCAAAACACTAACTGCCAATATCATATGAACAATTAAACTAAATACCAATTTCTTTTTAACAATTTAACTACTGCCAAAACTTAATCTAGAGACACACCAAGTTCCAATATCATATTAAAACTTTAAGAGTTAATCTCACAAACAAATATATCTAAGCCCGATAAAAATGAATCCACAAGTAAGGAGTACTGACACATTTTTATGAACAATGAAAATTATTTCAGATATCTAATCTATACACACTAATTGTTAATAGTTAAAGAACGTGTAAAGTGTTGATATCTAATCCATTGACTAAGTGACAATTTATTTTCAAAGGCTAAATGTCAGTATGAAGTAACAATTCAATTAGTGGTGAATGCCTAATCTACAGACTAAGTGCAAATATTTAACAATCAATGTGGTCTTTGAAAGACAGTCCTCTGTCAAACACAACTCCTAGAGAGTTTAGTGTTTACACTTTTGGCGATTTCTCCATTCATTATGATTTTGGGGACATCTGCTGTGACAATTCCATTGACCAATGAACACCATAATGTTAATGCTTTGCTTGGATTTATCAAAGATCCTGTGCAAATAGATAGATACTCTACAAATTGTCAATATCTGATCCACAAATTGTTAATATTTATTGAACAATTGCACTAACAGTCTATATTGAATGCAGTAACATTAAAGACATAATAAAAACAATATTCTTTAAACAGGAAACTCCAGGGCATAGAGTACATTCACACAGACATATAAAGTAAATTAACACAGACACATAAAGTACATTCACACAGACAAATAAAGTACATTCACACAGACATATAAAGTACATTCACTTAGACACATAAAGTACATTCACACAGACACATAAAGTACATTCACACAGACACATAAAGTTCATTCACACAGATGCATAAAGTACATTCACACAGACACATAAAGTACATTCACACAGACACGATTAAACAAGCAAAGGATATTATAATACAGTGCATTGAAAGAAGAACACGAAAGCAGGAAATTTTACAGTCAGTACTGTTGTTATGAAACAGATGCAGGAAGGGGTGAAAGGGAGCATGTTTAGTCTCACCTGTGAAGCCGCCCTCATGGACCTCTCTTTCTTCAAGAGATGCGTAGTATTGTGTCTGGGTGAGCATACTGTGAAACCCCAGGACAGCTGTTGAAGAGTGACACAAAATGCATGGTAAAAGAACCTCTGGATAAGTAGGGTGCAAATATATTGTTAGCATTTCCTGCCTTTCCAGCTAATAGTGTTATAGTGTGTTAGAAGGAAACATACGACTTACAGCCCACAGTGATGGCAAATGTGACTAGTAAAACCCACCTGCATTAAGAAAAGTCTTCTACAATTAGAGTATGAAATTTCAAGGCCAGTGTTGCCATCTATCTGCTCTTTCCATTACCTCAGTGTCTGTAGCCTTGTATTACCAGTGATATCTGCTCTTTCCATTACCTCAGTGTCTGTAGCCTTGTATTACCAGTGATATCTGCTCTTTCCATTACCTCAGTGTCTGTAGCCTTGTATTACCAGTGATATCTGCTCTTTCCATTACCTCAGTGTTTGTAATTTTTCTTACTACTAAATGCCGAGTAACCAATAATAAACTAGGTCTGCTACCTAGAGTATCCTAGGGTGGTATCTAGAATACATGGAAGTTTGTTTTACTTATAAAATACAAAGCATCTTGTCAACAGGTAAGCAAATTGAGAATGGTGGTGGCACAATGGCTAAATCCTTGCCCGCTGGCATGAAAGTCTTGGATCTGAATCCTCATAAGGGAAACATTTTTATTTTATAACTGACATGAGCACTGTATTTTGCCCAGCCTAAACTGGATACTATCAAAAACCAAGGGACGTAAAACATCCGGCTGTGATAATAAAAACATCACCTATCAGGTCTAATACAAATATGAGTCTAGCACTTTATGCCTGATGTGCAGTGGCTAGTTGCCTGATTGCAGATCCAAAGGTTTAAATCCAAATGGAACTGACCTTTACTTCAAAAGTGACCTTGGCTCCCAGGTCAACACAACCGTGAGCGGGTACCATGTGAAGTCCTGGAAAGTAAAGACAGCCCGTGTGATGCTGACCACAACACCCCACAAGCCCTGATTGGTCTATAAAAAATATGTCTAGCGCTATAAACCCAAAACTAGCACTATATGCACAATGCACCTAAAGGCATGAAAAAGGGTCCAATACTTTTTTATTTTAAAAAACGTTCTATATGCCTGATGCGTCACTGGCATGATAATGGGAATATTACTATGAGGGGAAGTCAATGTGTAAGTTCTAGACCTTATTGTTTAGTTTACCAGTGCCGTGTTTAGGAGATAATGGTCCTTCACTATGAGGGGAAGTCAATGTGTAAGTTCTAGACCTTATTGTTTAGTTAAATAGTGCAGTGTTTAGGAGATAATGGACCTTTACTATGAGGGGAAGTCAATGTGTAAGTTCTAGACCTTATTGTTTAGTTTAATAGTGCAGTGTTTAGGAGATAATGGACCTTTACTATGAGGGGAAGTCAATATGTAAGTTCTAGACCTTATTGTTTAGTTTACCAGTGCAGTGTTTAGGAGATAATGGGTTGGGAAGGAAGAGTTGTTGTCGAGTTTGTCGGCAATCAGTTGCAGTGTGGGTTCCGGGAACCTATTTTATAAAGAGATTAGACCCACACAAGCATGACGTAAAAGGCAATTGATTTTAAATTTAAAATTTTTATTTTTAGAATCAAAGCTGTTGGGCTGTGCACTGCAACACAAAATGCCCAACAGCTCTTTCAGAGCAAAAGCAAAAGAAGAACAAAACATAATGCAATGATGAAGATGATCCTCTGGCCTTTTAAATATGAATTTCAGCTAAGAGTCAAAGGTTAAAAAAACACACACACAGAAAAAAACACAGGTAATTACCAGCGAGGTCCACTAGTTCTTCTTCACTGGCAGCAGTCAAGATCTCATCCCACTCTGTTTCCACGGCGGCATCATCATCGTTGATTGTTGTCTTCTCTGGCTCTTTAGGGGTGAATTTCTTTCCTGTGATATAAGAATATGGAATATGAAGGAAACATCTAGTCAGACAAGCACAGAGGTTAAACAACAAAATTATATGTTCTTTTTTCTTCATTTGAGCAGGAATAACTGTCTTTAAAAAGAACTTTTAATCAACCCATCCTTAGGAAAGCTTTAATTGTGTGACATGCTTGTTAAGTGGTAGTGGGCCTATTTTTTTTGCTCCCAAAATGGGGCTTCTGAACCTACATGGGGAAAAAAAATTCAATTCTTGTTTGTAGTGTCTGGTAAGTGGTTTCTTTGTAAAGAATCACCTATCATGTACACACATACTACTATAAGTAATTAGTCTCTATCCATAGCTAAACGCTGTGAGAATCTCCCATGTGGGTTATGGGGATCCATTTTGGAGGGTCCCGATTACGCTTGCCTCTGTATGGGTCACTTAAATATGAGGCTGGCTTAGCATAGAAAGGCCATCTTATTCTGTTCCCATTTTTTATAGTTATTCATGTGACTTTCTGGAGGGCACTGATGGTGGGGCAGCGTCCGTGGCTAAGGCGTTGCGAGTCCGACTCGTAAGCCAGCATACCGCGATCGAAACCCACTGCAGGCTGCGCGGATTTTTATCGTGGTATGGGACGTCGCAGGTCGACCCAGCCTAAAATGGGTACCAGGATGGGCTGTCCTGGGAAAGTAAAGACAGCCGGCGTAATGCTGACCACATTACCCACAGAGTGCTGATGGTCTGTAAAAATATAGGACGCTCTGCCCATATGCCCGATGCACCGAAAGGCATGAAAAGGGATCTTTACTTTTACTTTACTTTACTGTTGGTGGGAGTATTTTCCCTTTGTTATTGTTATGTAGTTCATGTTGAGAAAGACCCTGGCAGAGACATCGATTTGTCTTGTTTTGTGTATACTGTTCTCCTCCCCTCTTTTGTTAAGCTTTTCAGCCATGGTTCATTAGAGTAACTGCCCTCTAAAAAAGGCAACAAATCAAGGGTGCCTTAGTTCCTATTAGTGCAGATGTCGCCGCAAAGCTGTAAACCACACCACAAGGTGCTTACCATCATTTTAAAGACGATTACAGAGGAAGAAGAATCTCAATTCAGTGAATGAACATCAAACTAATCAGGTACATACCTGAGCAATGTATCATTAAAAAAAAAAAATGTTCCTATTGTTGTCTAGGTTGTTCTGATGTTGAAATGTAGTCACTGTATATACTTTTCAAGCCTAACTGTTGTCAAATTATGTAAAGATTGGTTAGAGTGCAGCGACGGCTATCTTTGGGTATATTACCTGACAAGGTCCCAAATCTCTTCAACAGTGCAACTTTTGTACTACTATCCAAAAACAATGAGGACAGTTTTTACCAGACTGATTAACCGACAGGTTGAACGTTGAATTAAGAATCAACCTCACAGCCCTCGGGTCACTCCGGTAAGCGCTCCATCCCCATCTTCAGCAGCAAGCGAAGAATTCCAATTCCGATGGTACCAGTACCAGTCTGATTGTATATCCATCATATCCTTCCCCTGAGTGTTAAGTGTCTGCCAGATCCCCTGGTAACTTGTCGCAACGCCATTCCCCTCAGACCGTAATGATCTATTTGCACCTCCGCACTGTTCACTCGTTTCCAAAGGGCCCTCACAATATCTAGCTGGCCATGAATCAATTCCCAACCAAGTGGTGAATTGATGTATGACAACATTAACGGACAGGTAAATCCTCTGAAAGACTAAGTTACACTGCTAGTCTTTCTGTTGCCTATTCTTTTCCGGCAACTGATATCAAACTTGTTTATATATGTTCCTGCATTGCACATAAAAATATGTGCATTTAGAACTTAAATGAATGCACCAACCTGTTACAGCAGAACATCTAGGAGGATGGTGAGGGAAAGATCAAGAAAGAGATGGATAAATGGGGTAGCTGAAACTCGTAAAAAAAATTAACAAATGCACCATCCAAGCCATCTGAGAAGCACAAGACAAATGCAGAAAGCCATGACACCTCGCATCACTGAGATGATAAAAGCAGAAGGCCAAGAATAAAGGCACCAGCTTAAGTTATTGCAGTCAAGTAATTTTTGCTTTTTTTAATTTAGTTTGTAAAGGCACTGTGTTTTCTCAGTGTTTCTACTGTCTGGCCTTTTCTAGTATTTTTTATCACAAATTACATTTATGTTCATGTAAGTAAAGTAAAGTAAAGATCCCTTTTCACGCCTTTGGGCGCATCGGGCATATGGGCAGAGCGTCCCATATTTTTACAGACCATCAGCACTCTGTGGGTAATGTGGTCAGCATTACGCCGGCTGTCTTTACTTTCCCAGGACAGCCCATCCTGGTACCCATTTTAGGCTGGGTCGACCTGCGACGTCCCCATACCACGACAAAAATCCACGCAGTCTGCAGTGGGTTTCGATCGCGGTATGCTGGCTTACGAGTCGGACTCGCAACGCCTTAGCCACGGACACCACTCTGTTCATGTACCAGACCACAAATATGTGCATAGGGACTCAAATAAAAACACCAGCTCAAGTTTTTGCAGCCAAGTTACCTTTCACTTCTTTTGAAAAAGGCACCGTGTTCTCCCAATCTTTCTCCTGCCTGGCCTTCTCCTCGAGGAAGTTCAACAACTTCTGTCTGCTGAATGGTCCAGTAGGTGTCTTTGATGTCTGGTCTCGGCTACGCTGGGATGCTGGCAGCAGTGAGTTCTGAAACAGGTTTTGTCACACTGAGTAATCTATATTAATAAAAATGTTAATTTTCCGATGTTGTTAGCTAAAAACTCAGAAACTACTGAACCAATTGCTTTCAAATTTGCACTCAACGTTGCCTTTGACTCCAAGCGTGATTCTTTGGTCAGAAAATAGCACAAACCACGAACGATGTAGCTCCAGCAGCGGCCAAATCATTATTTGTTTCGTTGCCGGTCCAGATTTGTTTTTTAGTTAATTGGCCATGACTGCTGAGCTCTTATTGAACTTTGCATTATTATATAATTTTATTTCCACTATTAGCTTGAGTGTTTGGTAGCGTAGTTGGTAGCTATTCTGCATATCATACAGGTGATCCGCGTTCGATTCTCAGCTAGGTGGTATAATTTTTTTTAGTCCTTTATTGGGCGGCTGGCACGTTGTGTTGTGGTTTATGGCTAGGCTGCGATATCTACGCCTTTTTCGGTTTTGGGGTTTACAGCTAGCCTGCGACACTGGGTGATAATTGTTCTTTTTTCCTTAAAAGGGTGGTTGCCACGTTGTGTTGTGGTTTATAGCTAGGCTGCGATATCTACGCCTTTCGCAGACACCCAATTTCAGTTAAGTCTAATTAGCCTCCCCGCGAAGCTTCTCGATCAAAAACTATTAGGCGATGACAGAAACTGTTAACTAAGATGGCTTACAGTCCAGTTTAGTTTGGGTAGACACGGTTGCCGAGGTCAGTTAAAATTTGTTCCTTCAGAGAGGGAGAGATGACGGATGCGGGGTATTTTTCTCCGCTATTCGTGAGTATAGTGTACTTTTCACTGTGGGTTTCATCATTGGTTACGTAATGAAGTTTTTTTCCTATGCCGGAGAAAAATTAAACTAAATAGTCTGTGGCAACAGCATGCGGCCCTTACTCCTCTTTTCTACACTGACCTACACAGACTGTAGTGATAGTTTTTGTTGTTGTTGTTATGGTGGTGGTAGTAGTGGTTGCAGTAGTACTGGTACTGGATGGGTGATGTGGTAGCTGTTACACTGGCTACATTTACTTCTCTGTACAAGTTAATGCTACCTATTCAAGTCTGGGTGGACATGGATGCCAAGCTCAATTTAGTTACAATATTTTGTTACACAGTGACTTTCTCATCCTTCGGAGAAGATGATATTATTCTGGATTATGCCAGACAAAGTTAGATGAGAGAGCCTAGAATATAAGTTTAAAGTTCTCATTTCTTAACTATTTCTTTCTATTTTAATACTTTCGCCAGGTAATGATTTTTCAATCTTTCGAAGAGGGAGATATGATTGGGGGAGCGGAGGGGGAGGGGGTTATGCCAGACACCGTTAGCTGAGAGAGCTTAAAATATTATTTTAAAGTTCTCATTTCTTAACTATTTCTATTTTAATAATTTCGCCATGGATGATTTTTCAGTCCTTCGGAGAGGGAGATATGACTTCGCCAGGTAATGATTTTTCAATCTTTCGGAGAGGTAGATATGATTGGGAGAGCGGAGGGGGAGGGGGTTATGCCAGACACCGTTAGCTGAGAGAGCCTAGATTATTATTTTAATGTTCTCATTACTTTACTATTTTAATAATTTCGCCAGGTGATGTTTTTTCAATCCTTCGGAGAGGGAGATATGTTGAAAAAAAAGGGGGGGGGGGGATTATGCCAGACACAGTTAGCTGAGAGAGCTTAAAATATTATTTTAAAGTTCTCATTTCTTAACTATTTCTATTTTAATATTTTAATAATTTCACCATGGATGATTTTTCAGTCCTTTGGAGAGGGAGATATGACTTCGCCAGGTGATGATTTTTCAATCTTTTGGAGAGGGAGATATGATTGGGGGAGCGGGGGGGTTATGCCAGACACCGTTGGCTGAGAGAGCCTAGATTATTTTAATGTTCTCATTTCTTTACTATTTCTATTTTAATAATTTCACCAGGTGATGATTTTTCAATCCTACGGAGAGGGAGATTTGATTGGTGGAAAGGGGGGTTATGCCAAACACAGTTAGCTAGGAGAGCTTAAAATATTATTTTAAAATTCTTATTTCTAAACTATTTATATTTTAATAATTTTGCCATCGATGATTTTTCAATCCTCCAGAGAGGGAGATATAACTGCGTCGAGGGGAGGGGGTGGGGGGGGGGGGTATGACAGACACTGTTAGCTGAGAGCTATTTTCTTTCCTCCCCATTTCACCATTCTGGGCCACAGCAACGCGTGGCCGGGTACAGCTAGTACATATAATATGCGCACAACTCTTGAGGCTACTGAAATAGTATGATGAGTATCTGTTACGTTAGTCATTAGTTGAGGTTCCAATTTCACTGCAGAAAGGTTACCCCATAACTGCTTCGTTCCTGCAGCAGCGGAAATCACTAAAAAATGTCCTTCAAAGTCCCATGTGAAAACTAGTGAAAAACATGTCAGTCTCCAGCAAAATCTTGCAGCTTGCACATGCAAATTAAATGTACAGGCCGGCTGCCATATGTGCCAACATCCACAGTCCCACAGCAGAATTGCAGCTCACTGCTGATGAAAGCAGTCAATTATTAAAGCCGACATTGTACATGTGATACTGCATAAGTACACGCCATTCTGTATGTAATCAGCCACCTGCCATTTTCCAGGCAGTTGTTAATTAATTATTATGTGCAAGTTGGCAACCAAAGAACTAGATTTGAAAATCAGGTGAACAGGCCAAGTCACAATTTTTTGCTCAGGGATATTGCAGACTCAATAAACACTCATATGAATTATGAGTTATCTTAACAGCACTCTTGACACATCCAACGTGCTCAGATTCTCCCTTCAACATATACACATCAACCTCTCGCAGTTAATAGTGCCAGTCCTGTGCTGGTTAACAGGATTGTGTACATCCAGTGTGCTTTTCATGCCCGACTGTGTGGATAATTACTCTGAATTTTCATATTCTTAGCACGATCCATAGGTTGGCCATCTGCAACTAAGGCAGAACTGACCAATCTATCAGCTCTTTCAATGCCAACAACACCTGCATAATCTGGGACAAAGATGAAGGTAACTGTACGCGCAACAGAGTTTCACTATAACTCAATCTACTGTCTGTGTACAAAGCCTGCCTTGACCAGCCAGACACTGCTCATAAATTCATTCAGCACACATACTTGGGAATAGTCATTTGATTCCAGACATAAGAAAGCTTGTGTCACCTCACATCACCTTCATGCTGCTGGTAGTCACAGAGAAGGCACGGCTGGCTTCCTGGACTGTTCTACCTACACAGCAGGCTGTAAAAGCACATGCACTCTTATGTTCTCGTACAACGGACTTATCTGTGTAGGTGAGTACACATGTCTCATCTGGCTTGATACTGATAAGCGCGCATACCTCAGGGTCAACAGCGATGGGATTCTGCTCCTGATAACTCCTATCAAGTGTAACGATACAACGACACAGTAAAAGGCGCAACTGAGTGTTACAGGCACAGGTGTCCATTCCTCGCCAGAGAAAATGTCTGTGAGACTGCAGGCCTGCTTAATATCACCTTCTGCCCTACCTAGCCATAATTTGGCTCTAGTCTGTTGCCTTTTTTTTCACTGAAGAGCTTGTGGTGCAAAGACCGCTTCAGATCTAAGCTTATTTTCAGCCCTCCAAATCTTGACCCTGTAGTTCATAGCTGGAAAGTCAAGAAGGTGTCTCACTGATACATGTTTTTAAAAGGGCAGGAAATTATAAGGAAGAGAAAAAGGGGTAAGAATGAAAAAATAATTTCTGTCCGCTTTACAAATCAATCACAATGGACAAACAAAGGACGTTGCTGCGATTAGCCTTCATCAGCACAAGAGGTGTCACTTGTGCACCCTATCAATAAACACCCGATGACACATGTGGAGAGGTCCTGAAAACCGCATTCAACGATAGACTATAATTGCTTCAAAATAACGGATATTTTTTTCCTTAGCTTTTATTGTGATTCACAATCCATTTACATGGTGAATGATACACAAAATCACCAGGCTATGCCGGTGTGTTGGGAAATGAACAGGCAGACAGACTGGTCGGCTCTGCACAACTTGGTGGAATACTGCTACATGACAGAGCAGACGTGGTTGATGCCTTGTGGAAGAGCGTGTACAATGCGGAGGAGCAGATGGATCACCACAGTCTGGTGAGATTGATTCAGTTGGGGGTGACGAGAGGTTCTGGCAGAAGCTCAAGGCTCAGAGAAAAGGCAAGGCGGATGTTTAATCAGAAAGCTACTGGCCCCATTAGTATTGGAACTCTTCGCTGGCTGCTGAAGATCGGGGCGGAGCGATTATGGGAATGCCCTGAGTGCTGTGATGTCGGTTCTTGAATCAAATCAAATCATGATTCACAAAAGAGTTATAGCTTACAATGCTGATATGATTTATAAATGTAAATATAATTCTTCATATCAAAATAATATTATTTCATTAGAAATTTAGGTTTCATACATTAGAAAAAGTGAAGTTACTACAGCCTGAGAGATATAAAAGTGTCTACGTAGACTATATATCAGCACAATTCAATTTAGTTTACTCAGGAACCAACATTTTGAAAATGTGGATTGTCTCAGATCAGTGCCTTAAGCTACATAACTACTTAATAATAAAGCATACATGGTAAAGAAACATAGGTTTAATAAGTATGACACAAAGTTATACCCTGAGGTGTGTGTATATATATAAATACATAATGACATTGATGAGATGTGAGCACTTCAGTGCTCTCCAAATAAAATTTTAGGTAAAATCCTGGTGCACTAAATAGTGCGAAGTAAAGGCAATGGAATAACAGACCCATTTCATACTGGTTTCATAGTAAAATATAACGAAATATCTTTGTAACTTTTCCATGAGCATTTGAAAACATCCCTAATTATATTAATATCTCTAATAGCTTTCAATGATGATATATAGTTATTAATTAAAATATTATTTTTCATAAAGTGATAAGCATAAATTAATTAAGAATTTAGACTACACACACTATAGTAAGAAATTAGTATTTTAAAACAAATGTGAAAAGTTATGCCCCTTAGTGTTTTTAAAAAAAATTACTTCCCTTGTTTTAGCCAGCCTTGGCTTCGGGATATATATATATATATATATATAAATAAATCGGTATGTTGTATTGCTGCTGAAGTGAAGCTTAATGTGTTTTACTTGTGACATTTCAAAATGTCATTAAATTTTAAAAAAAAAAAAAAAAAACTCTGGCACCAAGAGAGTAAATATAATAAACTACATGACAAATTAATAATTATGTCCTCTATTGGTTCTCTTCCAATTAGCAGCTTCTGCAGCTTGCTTTGTTCCAAACGTATTCATGCTTCTTTTCCTTTAGAGTCAATAAGCAGACTAAGGGAGAGGGATCATGCTGCATGAGCAATACATGGTCTTTCCAATATTTCCCACCCTTTGTGGAGACGTGGAACTTCGTCCCTGGCCTCACTTAACTATTATTTCCATTCTGTTGTATAACACAATATAACATCATCATCTGGAAAGACAGAAAAGTGCCAACATGATATGGGGGGGGTAGGGGGGGAAGAGAACATAGAAATACAAAAGCAAAATGGACAACATATAAACTGCAGTCATCATTTAGGCATTAAAATGGAAAACTAATGGACTGAGGAAATAAGAACGGACAAGAGAAGCCCCAAAACGAATGCTGACAGAGCCCAAAGGTGCAAGAATTGATTTCATCCATGATATGGAAAAGCTTGCATGGGACAGAACAGCATGGAAGAATCGACTGTAAGCCCCAGAGAACATATAATACAAATAGGACATGATAAAGATTAAGTTTCATACAGTGGAAAAGGTCTGACATAACTGTTCAGTGCATTTTGCCTGACATTCAGTGACACTGACAACATCTGATAATTTTCACCTTCTGAAGTGTTGCTTTTGCTTGGCCTATCTTGCTCATTATTTATCACAACAGTCTCAGAGACTTACTGGTCTGCCACTTGAAAACTAGTCAAACAGTCTCAGAGACTTACTGGTCTGTCTTTTTAAAACTAGTCACAACAGTCTCAGAGACTTACTGGTCTGTCTTTTTAAAACTAGTCACAACATCTCAGAGACTTACTGGTCTGTCTTTTTAAAACTAGTCACAACATCTCAGAGACTTACTGGTCTGTCTTTTTAAAACTAGTCACAACATCTCAGAGACTTACTGGTCTGTCTTTTTAAAACTAGTCACAACATCTCAGAGACTTACTGGTCTGTCTTTTTAAAACTAGTCACAACATCTCAGAGACTTACTGGTCTGTCTTTTTAAAACTAGTCACAACATCTCAGAGACTTACTGGTCTGTCATTTGAAAACTAGTCACAACAGTCTCAGAGACTTTCTAGCCTGTCATTTGAAAACTAAAATGTCTTTACTGTCTGTGTTTACAGTTTCTAAGGTTGGGGAGGGTGGGGAGGGCTGGGGATTTTAGGCTGTATAGCCAGTGCAGCTCATACAAACTGTGCAGGTCACAATTTTGATTTGTAACCCCGGCTGTAAACTTCAATAGAAAACTGTTTTGCTTACACATCTGATTTAAAGGCCTGACTTATCTCCATGCAGACTGTAGATTCCTTGCCTCTCAGAGAGATGCACCCTGACTTCGAAGGAAAGCACCAGTCAATCGACTCTTACGACATGCTTGTTAGAGAAGCCATGGGTCTATTCTTGTTTTCCCCAGAGTGGGGCCCTGGAACCCACACGGAGAATCTGTTATTCAATTTGGGTCTCCTTCTAGACAACAAAAGCTGACATGACTGTTTTATTTGGAGGCCAGCTGGGTTTTTTCTCCCTCATTTCATTTTTTTTCTCCAAATCAAATTCTTCACAAAATACAAACTCAGATATTAAAAGAAGTCAAAAAAATATCAAATGGATCGACAACAGACAAATAAAGCAGTACTAACATCAGGGTCGAAATCTCCGTTGAGTTCTTCGAGCTCCTCAGCAGACAGGGCATTCAGCAGATCATCAAAGTTATCTATATCGAGATCAATGTCAGGGACATCAATGCTCTTGGCCTTCTCCAGGATACTCATTTCTGTGGAATAAAACTCAAAATTATCAACAATAAAAATGCCATCAGAAAAATATTCAATTTAAAAAAACTTTTTCCTGCTTGTCAACTCCCATGAACCCTTCAATCAGCTCATGCTAAGTGCTTTGTAGGCATGATTTAATAGATTTTACATTTAAAGTTATACTGGGATGGTGAAAATTTCTTCTTCTTCTGCCTTTCTATCCCCCAATGGAGCATAGGCCCTCAACCAACTCACGCCAAGTCGTTCTATCCTTCGCTATTATATTGAGCTTTCCCCATGTCCTCCCCATTTTTCTAACTTCATTCTCCAGCTCTCTTCTCCATGTGCTTTTTGGCCTTCCTTTATTCCTATGTCCCTGTGGGTCTGTAATTCGCCACATACAAAGTGTCTGGGCATTCAGGAAACAAACAAAAGGCGAAAACAATTATTAAACAAGCCATCAGAGTCTTTTCTGTAAACACCAGCCGTTAACAATCGAGATCCTAGAATGGCAACAGACATAAGACCACATGTTTTCTGAGTTATTCATGAAAAGGATTTTTTTTTTAAAGACAGAGAATGGTATAAATCATGACAAAAAGCAACAGTGCTTTGTACTAACACACACAGTATAATCTTTGTCTACCAAAGCAAATACCAATATCAAACATGGACCCTTACTAAACTTAATGTGTGCAAAAATCATAACCACAGAGATGAGTTGTCTGAAGTAATAAGAAGAGATAAAATTAACAATTAGCAAATTAGAAGAAGACTAGACATAAAACTAGTCATAAAGTTTATTAAAGAGCAACAAATGACATGGTACGACCATCTCAAGAGAATACCCTCTATAGACAGCACTACTAAAGAAATATAATGGAAGGAGAGCTAGGAAAAGACCCCCCCCCCCCCCTCATGCAGTTAAACAACATATTGTTTCAGTGTTTATTTTCTGCCTCTTTTTTGCGAAAATAGACGGGATTTAAATACACTGTTGAGTGAATAATTAAATTCGGTTTTAATCTCTGCATTATTCTCACAGTAAAATTGTAGTGTGTGTATTGCCCCCTGGTCTACGAACATTCAGCACTCTTGTGTGTACAGTTTTTACCTCTCTGTCATCTGACATTCTCTCAATAAGCCCCAACCATTTCAGTCTATTAACCCCCCCCCCCCCCCCCCCCCCCCCCCCCCCCCCCCTCCCCCCCCCCCCCACCCCCCCCCCTCCCCCCCCCCCCCCCCCCCCCCCCCCAGTGATACTGTAACAGTCGAAGGTGAAGAGCACCGGCATCTTACTGTCTAGCGATTTAAAAAAAAAAACTCTGCCTCTAAAAGAAATATTTCGTACTTCTATTCCAGTTACTTGCTACATGCCCGTTTGCGGATCTGAAGGTCCGAATCCGTACTTTTTTTTCAAAAATGACCCTGACTCCCAGCGTTGAGTCGATACCAGGTGCAGTCCTAGGAAGTAAAGGCGGACGACGTGATGATGACCACATCACCTACCAAGTGCCGAGTGGTCTATAAAAATATAGGTCTAGCTCTGTATCCCAATACGCAGGAAGGCATGGAAAAGGGACCTTCACTTTACTTACTCCAGTTACTAGTACAGAATTAGCTTTCCCAATACTCGTAATCTGCATATGCCCTTCGAAAGCCACAAGAAGCATGAAAAAGTAGAAACAAGCAACATATGAAGCATTCACTCAAACTAGGGACAAGCAAACGCGCAAGTTGTTTACTGACAAGAACAGCGGTTCTTAGCCTCTGGGTCGCGACCCTTCTGGCGGTCGAACAAGCCTTTCACAGGGGTCGACTAAGACCATCGGAAAATACGTAGTCACTGAAGTTATGAAGTAGCAACTAAAATAACTTATAGTGGGGGGTCACCACAGTATGAAGAACTGCATTAAAGGGTCGCGGCATTCAGAAGGGTGAGAACCAATGACCTAGAAGGAAAATAATAAACAAACGTTGGGCCCGAAAGGCAACACGTGACCCGGTCTGGCGTCTACAAAACTCAAATGGGCTGCTTTTACTGCCAGTTCAAGCAGGGACGGCAACTCCTTAACTAAACACAGGGGGGACAAAGCCCGAACTGTTGGCAGCATTTAGACCTCGGGAACCCACCACAAGTCGTCAATAAAACACTGTTTGGGTTGAGGAGACGGTCCCCAGAATGTGGGACAGTCGAGTGTGTGTGACTGCATACTACAAACAAATATAGCTCTCCCACCCCCCCCCCCCGGCGGTATTAAATGATCCACACTACAGGCTCCACGTGTGCTTCATTTTCTGTTGGTCTAAAAGTAGAGATCTAGCCCTTTGTGCCCAATACGCCAGAAACATTGTTATTTTAACCATACAGGGAGCCCGGCTCTCTAGCGTAGTTGGCTAAACCGGATTGCGCGGAGACCGGGTGACGAACTCCTTGTGGTCCGGGTTCAATCCCGGGGGTAGGCAGAAAAGCCACATTTGCTCTCAAATTTACGGTATTTTCAATGGAATCAAGGTCGAAAGGTTGCGATATTCATAATACCGAGCCTTAGGGTTAACAACTCATGGCTTCTGGGTACTAAAACAAACAAACAACCATACAGGGACATTTTCTCTAATAGTAGTTGTTGATACATTTCATATTATCATATTTATTTGCCATTCGCCACATTAAAAATAATAAGAATGTGTTGAATGGCAAATAAACAAAACATTTGAAGTACTGTGCAATGTAATGTACCCATAAATACTTTGAAAGATAATTTCTAGACATACACAACATAGCCAGACATATTTATATAAATGCTTACACATATGCATGCACGCAGATACACACACATACACAGCTTCTCAGACAGACAGACAGGCAGACAATATATAGCAAGCTGGAAAATACCCAACGGCGTGAACACGTAAAAGACACTCGACGCTGCCCACACACAAACAAGTGGCTCAAAAATAAGTACAGTATAAGTGTTTAGACGGTCTCAGTTTTTAAAGTACACACAAAGACAACGACTTTTTGACTGTGATCCTCATGAAACAACTGTTTAATCTTTGCCGCTGCACGTCGTAACAAATTAAAATTGTGACCATAACAACAGCTGGAGGGTTTGGTTATACACACAGCCCACAACAACACCCTTTAGTCAATAGTGAACATAGATAACTAGACAAAGGTGCCCAAAACCGCATTTTTGAAAGCCTTTTTTTTCAACAAGCTATGTTTTTAAACTGATGTGGGGGAGGGGTGGAGGAGGGGTAAATTAGGACAATGATTGCTTATAACCTGAAGATCAAAGCAGATCAGATTTCCAGGTAGTTAGCATCCTTTAGATATTTTCTCCAGGATATGCAGATGTACAGGGGAACGAACAGGCATACAGAGTGGTTAGTTCTGCACCACTGGGTGGTAAATTGAACGAAAGAACGAACTTTAGTTTTAAAAAGTCAGGAATTGGTCAAGAAGGCCTGTCTTACACTCAGCTCTTCCAAACACTTATCCAGCTAGGTGTGATCAAGGCCTTCTGGCGACGATTGAACAAAGCGGTAGAAAAAACATAGATCATCAAGGTCTGAAACGAACAGTGTAGCCAGGAGTGATCACGGGATCTGTCCGACTCTCAACACTCAGAAGACAAACAATCAGACCTCTACTTTTACTATCGGAAATATAACTCAGCGCCGGCTGCTGAAGATGGGGAAGTGGCGCTTATGGGAATTCCGGAGTGCTGTAATGTCAATTCATAACTCACCTCAGATTAAGACAGATGCGGTCAAGGCCATGTGACAGGAAGTGAACAATGTTACACTGAGAAAAGATCACCATGGTCTTGAGAGAATGATGCAGCTGGGCGTGACCAGGGGATCTCTGGGCGTGACCAGGGGATCCCTGGGCGTGACCAGGGGATCCCTGGGCGTGACCAGGGGATCTCTGGGCGTGACCAGGTGCTCTTGTGCGACATATCAATTTATAACTAAACCGCCCAATCAAGGCAAAGACTGCATCAAACTAGAATGCATAAATACTGTTAGCTAAGTAACATGTTATAAACATTATTATTTTTAATTTACTTTCTGTCTCCACAATGAGAGTTGGCTGCAGTGCGCCCACCCACTATTATCTTTAGGAATACAGTGCAGATTGCTTTAGCCGATCTCGGGTGTCGCGCATTTCTTTTGTGAAGAACAATCTGTTTATTCCATGCAGATATTTTTTCCCCTTGCTTGACTTCTAATATGAGTAAGAGCCACTTCTGATGTGTGTGTGTGTTTTTTTTAAATCATTTATTGGGTCCCCAGTGAGTTCTCCTTATAAAGTCTTCGTTGTTTTATGTGGTCAGGCCCCAGTCTCTTTCATGATGCTTCCCTCTGACTGGTGTCCGGAAAAAAGCACGGTGTTTTCTATTTGGGGGAGAGAGAAAATATGTCAGCTGTGGGCATCGAACCCTGGACCTAGAGGATCATAAAATTTGTACACGTAAACAGCCCAGGTCAATCGCAACAACCAACTTGAGTCGGCGTACTTCGCGACAGAAGCAGCAGAAGGAAAAAACGCCATCATGCGAGCAGGTTTACGCTGAGTGTGAGCAGGTTCTTTGTGCCTGATGGAAAGAGCAGAAGCAGTCGCGGGAGCTACAAGCTCACGTGGTCTACCTTATCATTCCCAGCATTGAGTCAGCCGCTTTGATAACTCAAGAGTGGGTCTGGGAGAGGAGGAGTGGCAATATGAGACTGACCTTACCGGTAATAGCAGATGTGGCTGTTGGGGGTGTAAGATGTTAGGCTGAGATGTGAGTAGAAAGGGGTAGTGGGAAAGAGGGGGGGGGGATGTGAATGCATACGTGTGCATACATCATATTTACACACACACACACATATATATAAACAGGCAGTAGGATGGGCATATGGGGACACCTAGACATATAATACATGGCGACAGGCAGTTAGACAGACAGTTGGGTGGGTGGGTAGGTAATCATGCAGACAAGTTAGGTATACACTGTGATATAAAAACA